TAAATTTCAATATATAACTTGAAACTATTTATTTTTCAAAAGCATTGACATTAGAACTATCAAAATTTCAGTTTTCTCACGTCGCAGTTAATATTCTATAAATACCTTCAATCGAACAGTGCAATGAATCTGCAAACAAAACGAAGCAAGTCAACAGTCACGTTTTCTACGAAAATTCCACACGAGTCGTATGAAATGCTCGTCGGTTCAAGCGTCAAACGCCGAACGAATAAAAACGTCCGCCGATTTCGTTGCATCCCGCCGTCTTTCGTGCTCCGTACTTTTTATCTAACTCGCCGCGCTCTCGTATTTGCCCTTTGTAAATTCTACACGCTCGTTGATCGAACCGCGCCCCATTGTCATCGCCGCAAGAGCGTCCGCGAGGCGAGACACGCGTGAACACGACACGAATATATTCGTACTTGAAGCCTGGACACCTTTTTTCCCCTTTTATAGCCGCGTCGTGTGACACCTGTACGCGGGGACGTGGGCGGGACTCGAGGGTACAAGGTTCGCGCGCGGAACGAGCCAGTTCCAGCAAACGGTGTACAAGGGGATTTAAAGTGACGGGTACAAATAGGGCTGAGATACAGTGACCGCGTTATAGGAGCCGGCTCCGAATATGGCGGCGGGCGCGCCGCTCAAAGGGGAAAAATACGGCGCGTTAAGTAACTGGGACAAATTCCCGCTTCGGCGTCGCCGCGATGAAAGCGCGCGGGCAAAAACGATCTTGACAAAATCGCGCGTGAAGCCGTCAACGATTCGGTAATTACGTATCTCTGAACGAGTTCGAGAATCGAGAGGAAAAAGGGGAAGCGAGCGAGCGACGAATTCTGTAATTTTTTCGACGGTGTCCCGCTATCAAGCGTTTACACGCACTCCTTTATTCATCGTTCCGCGCGTAATTTTATTCGGTGTTTGAGCCCTCGTCGCGGAATGGCTAGATCGGACGAGTAGGAGCATGCATTTTTAAATGGAACGAGAACGGAGCATAACGCCGCTTCCGGCGAAACAAACTCCTCTCAACTAGGGTACATTAATTACGAGAAACGGAACGAAACCAAAGATACACCGCGAAACATCGCGCATTTTCGCGTTTATTATTTACTGTTAATTAGCGCGCGGATAACACGCAGTTTCCACATGCGAAATGATTTATTCGCGAACGTAGCGCTGCGGGGTTTTCAAGTATCTCCCGTTGAATTTATTACTTTGTAAGCGGAAAAACGCTGCTCCGGGATGGCCGTGAAGTGTCGTGCTCACTTACTCAGCGAAGAAAAGAGAGAGAGAGAGACGGAGTGTAGTTCTCGAAGCATTCCGCGGGGATAATAAACCTGAAAGAAAATCCTTGATGGACCGCGGGATGCAAATGAAACAAGGGTTTTAGAGGAATCCGCCGGCGCTGTGTGCTGGACGTGTAATCGTAAACCGAGCGCGGAAACAGGGGAATATGGGTCATCGAGCGAAGTAAAGTCGCATTCAATCCATCCGCGGACACAACGAGCGACATTTACCCTTTGCGCGGCCTCTCGGTCTCTCGGCATCTTTAATATGTTTGTTTTACGGTGGTTCCGTCCGGGAACGACAACACACGTCGCGCGAATACTAATTGAACAGTGTTTTTCATCGAGCCCCGTCCGTGGGGCGAACGAGCGAACGGGTAGGGCGTGCATGCATATTAACGCGTTTTATGATCGATCGTTCCTGCTTCCCATGCGTTAGGAACTTGTTTTGTTAACGATATTTTCGTTTATTAATTGCAACTTGCGCCGGCGGAAATAACAATCGCCCGGCCGCCGTAAGGGCGGAGAGATCCCCGCGATTTTTACCGACGGCACGTCTCGTTTTATTAGAACCGCGCAAATAGAACGCGTAAACTTTTCAATTATTCCGCGGCCTCGTTCGAGCGTTATAATTCACAAACGCTGATCCCAGGTTTCACTAAAAACACGTACACCTTTATTCCTACTTTTCCTGTTAACTCGTTAGTTTGCTTTAAATTTCGTACTCCCGCCTCGCAATCATGTTCCCATTAAAACGTATGAAAAGCAATTATAGCTCCGCCGCCGCTCTCATTAACTTCTTTCCCAGTTTAGCTATGAATCTCTATAATCCCTACAGTCTTCGAAGTGTTCCAAAGAATCCTCCAATCCCTCAAACCTGTAACAAAAGCGATAACATCGATCTAAAAGAAAAGATTCATCCCTCAAAATCACAAATGCACACACAAAAGCCCGCAATTAACCCACGGGAAACCTGAAATAAAACCAACCGGTCCAAAAAATCGACGAACCCAACAACGCGCATAAAACAATTCCACCCAGGAGACAATGTATTCATATTCGCCGGCGGTGAAAACTTTCGGAGTGCAAAGGGAAGCCGAGGAGCGGGCGGGATTAACATTTTTACCCAGTTCCGAGGGTTACGCGGCCACGTAGGGGCGAATATGGCCGCGGCGTTGGTTGTAAACGGTTGTCGCAGGTGCATCGCGCAGGAAGCGGCGCGGCGCGGCGCGGCGGCGGCTGCATAAACGTCTTTCCGGCGCATGCACGCGCGCGGCTCGGCTCGATGCGATATAAGCTGCACGGTGGCCTGGGCCGCGCTCTCTTACCGGTGCTCTTCCGGTTTCCCGGCGGTATCGGTCGCGTCCAGAGGTTATCAAACCGGCGTTCATACATAATGGAACCGATCCCCGTACCTTTCCCGACCCTCGGCTCATTTCCCATGCGCGTCGTCGCCCTTGTTCGCGCCGTTCGTTTCTCCCGAGCCGACACGCTCCCACGGCTTCCCGTCGATCGCCGAAAAACAAGATCCCAGGATTCCGGGGACAAAGCTCTCCGACAGTGCTGGCATCAGCTGCGCCAGAGATGCTCTATTAGATTTTCCAGTTTGAAGGGAGCGCGCCGGGGAACGAGGGGGGCGGAAAGAAGAGGAGAAGAAGGGTTGGAGGAGTCGTTGATGGAGAGACAAGGGATATAAAAGAGAAAACGAGGGATAGACTCCCGGCGGAAATAATATGAGTGACGGGCGAGGGGCAGGGGGCGGGGAGGGCGGTAAATGTTGCAATCGCAGCGAGCTGCGGTGAGAGGCGATGGTTCGCGCGCCATTCAACCGACCTGGATGCGCGTACGCGCGCGGTTCATTGCCGGCACGAAGATGGTTCGGTTACCATTATTTGGGTACCTCGACCCCGCCGGCTCGATATTTTCTACGTCTCTGTTCTCGAGTTGCGCCTCGAACCTCGCGTTTCATTGATCCGGCGTGTTGGATCCTGCGAACACGATTGTGGCTGTGTTCTCATTATCACCTGTCAGCTGATGTTAGTGCTGGTTGAATGGAGAATTGTTTCTGTTTTTTATTTATATTTATTTATAGTCGCAGCAACACTTCATTAGTGACTAACCTACGTATGTAACATAGCTAATAATTTTATACAGATTTTTAAATGGTGTCTCAACAGCTTAACGTAATCCTAGGTTCCTATTTATATCATTGTATATTCCGATCACTGTCAAAAATCTTAGACTTTGTTCTATCTTCTCTTTCCAAAGTTTCTTCTAGCGATGTTCCTATGTTAAATGTTTTCCTTGTTTCAGAACATTTATCGCACTTTCGCATGACGCGTTCTACCGTTAAAACTTCATTACAAACATGTAGGTAATTTTTCTGTTCTTCGTTAGAGGATATTTGTTTCGGTTACAGAGCGAAGGTTATTGGATTCCGAAAGAAATGTAGAACGAAACGCGGACTTTATGAAAGCGCCTAATGCGTTCATAAGTCTCCCAAATACGCGAGACATTTCTACGTTACGTCGTCTCCGCGTGAACGATGGAACCGCGCGGAGAACGCAAATGATATCGCGAGGCCCGTAATAACCGGCGAGACGAAGATCGAATATGATCGATTCTGGTATTACCGTTGGCTGATGTGTACAGCGACTCCTTCAGAAGCGACGTTTCTCAATGAAATGAGAGTACCCCGTGTTTACCGGCGCACATGCATACGAGGAAACGCGACGTTCCGTGCATTTCCAGATATAAACTGCTCGCCGTCGATGCGCGGAGAATATCGGAGAAGTTCCGAAGGAGCCGTTACATCTGCACGCGTTCCGGAAGAATATCGGGGTGCTCGATTGTTTCTTACTTCGACTCGAGTGTCGTCGTATCAGACCCACCCTCGGCTGAATTGTTCGTTCATACTTTACCGGAGTTCTCGAAATTTCTATTATCCGCGGTTTATTCGTTAAAGCGACATTCGCCGGTACGCCGTGCGTCCCTCAAGCACCAGGTGCACTTTTATTAATTCCGGAAGCCTCTCAGGTGCGGCATCGTCGCAGTCGGGAGCCGTAAAAACTTTGAATAAGCACTCCTTCCCCGGGAAACTTAAACGCCTCTATGGGAGTGAACAATTTCTTTCGGAATTCTCGCTGCGACAAAGATGCTCCATAAGTTTTCTTGTTCTGGAGCGAGATGCTCCGGAATCCTGGTATTGACGATCGAGAGAATCAGCTCGCCTGTGTGACTTGGACGCTCTCCAGCTAAATGAAATCTCTAATCTAGCTGTTCGCGCGATTCGATGCTTAGAGATGCCAGTGAAATTGTGTTCGGAAATATCTTAGTCTAGAATATTCGCGCGATTAACCAGTTAAGAGTGGAATTCAGTTTGAAAAATCTCTCATTGTGCAGTAAAATCGAATAATGAAGTGTACACTCGTTAAATGCAAATGCGCTTAAAATGTATCCTAACGAAAAACTAAAGCGAAACGAAGAATCACACGTTTGTCTGAAAAAAATAATCCATCGTTGAAAAAGTTAGTAGAATTAAGAGTTTTAAGATGACGTGTGTACTCGTCGAACACAGTTAACTGTTTAATTAGTATTATCGTATACTGTAAGAATACTATACTACTTGCGTACAATATAGAGGGATCCAAAGTCCTCGTCCGCGATAAGATCGCTGGAAGCCTCTTTAAAGGTAACACGTTGCGGACCATGTTTCAGGACGGGGAGTGGTGCTGGATAGTCAGGGTCCTGTGCTGATCTCGGAGCCACGCTCGTCGGTCGAATTCTCGAACGAGACCGGGACAATGATCCATTGTTCGGCCCAAGGCAGCCCACCACCGAGGATTGATTGGCTTATGGGAGACGGGTCACCGGTGCTCCCTATACCGAACATCCGCGAGACGTTGGTAAACGGTTCGATGTACTTCTTACCGTTCAGAGCGGAGAGCTATCGGCACGACGTCCACTCGGCCGTTTACAGATGTCAAGCCTCGAACAGCGTCGGCAGAGTGTTGGGCCGTGAAATCACGGTAAAGGCCGGTGAGTACCTTTATTTCACCTCTTCCGACCGATTGAACAGATCCCCTCTCGCCTGGAACGAGGAAATCGCTCACATGTAACCGTCTTTCCACTGTCCAATTATACTAAACGTTCCAGCGACCACGGAATCGGAGAAAGGAACATACCCACCGAAACATCCACTTTCGAATGTAAAACAGAGATTCCTCTACAACCGTAACAAACGCGGAGAATTTATTTCAACACCGCGTATTTCATAATAATCGAACAGCTTGACGCAAACGAATATTATCCCGGATCACATAAATACTCATTACAGTTCGTACAAGGGAATTTCAGCTAGCCAAGCTACGGGTAGCTGGCCAACGGGTAAATTCTTGGTACACGGCAGTTACACTATCGATTCCACGGGTCAGATACCGTAAACCAGGGTTTAACGACATTGCCAACAGACATCGAGTTCTGCATCTCTAACTTATTCCCGCGCCGGTCTATTCTTGGATTTACCGCGACGAACGCCCAGGAAGAAAATAAAATTCGAAGTCCGCGCGTTCGAGGAGCCGTCGTTCCCCGCTAATTACGGCGGCTTTATATTCCGAGGTATCTCGCGAGCCCGACTTGCTCGCGGACGAATATACAAAATGGCCGAGACAAAGCGCGCTTCCCCCGGCTTCGGGGCCGTAACGCGGCCGTAATCCGACGAAAAATTGCCGGGCTCCATTTCCAGGACGTATCGTTACTTGCAATTATGCCATTGAGAGGCGGGGCGCGCAGCTGGAGTACCCCGAGCCGCGTTTCGCGGAGAGCGAATTCCGGCTCGCACTTAGCGTCCCGCCGGCATCGGGGACCGAATATTTAGCGCCCCGCCGCGCCGTGCCATTTCCCTGGCCGCGTAAAAATCGGACGCGACGCCGGGAAAAGCCCCGGCATTATCGGACGCGGCGCGTTGCCGACGCCGCTGCGGATATCTCGCCGCTCGTAAATGTAATCGGCCGTTCCGCGGAATGATGTTCTAAAGCGTGGGCTACGGGGGGAACGCCGGAAGAATGATCGCGGCTCAGGAGAGCCGAGCCAACTACATTTATCGCCACTCCACTCGGCCCCGCTGCCTACCTCGCAGATGTATGGCCTTAAACTCGCGCTCGCTTATGGCTAACAAGCGGCACTCACTGCCAAGATCAAGATTCGCGGGCTCTCGCGCGCTGCCAAGTGCTTTCACCCACATTTTCATAGCGCCGCTCGCGACTACAGGGTGGGCTGGTAATAGCGATCGTTTCACGCGTCTCGGAGTGTTCGGTGTATGCTGGTTACTCTGACAGATGTCAACGTCGATAGTCCCATGCTTCGGGATTAATCGTTTTGTGGTTCATTGGACTGACGCGATCGCTGCCTTGCTTCGCAATGGCTGGATCCAGTAAGCAGGGACTTTTAAAGAGCGCAGGGAAAATATCAAGCTAAAGGGAGCTTCTATGGATTCCCGTGTGCTAATTGCAAAAAATCCTGGAAGTAAGCGTTCGCTGCAGCGCCGCCTTGCAGCGGGTTAACTTCAGCTGCTTTATTCAAAGATTACGTTCCTCGGGGGCTATCGTTTTTCTCATTAGACGCGGTATCACTTTGTACGTCTGTAGGGGTCTACGTATAGAGTACAGGTCGCGTGGGCTTAATGTATCAAAGATAAACTTCAAAATGCAGTTTTAATACTGAACGTACCGGTACTTTATATATACCTGTTCCTACTGCGTCCAGTTGAACACTTGGTGTAAAATAAAGGTAGAGAAGGAGGACGATAAATGTTTGTTAGTGTAAACTGAAAGAAAATGGATGGTAACAACTGAGAAACTGATTAACCAGTTAACTGTGGAATTTAGTTGGAAAAACTTCTCGTTCTGCGCGCAATAAAACAAAAAAATGGAGCGCGTACTCATCGAACGCAGGACGAATGCACGCAGAGTATATTTTAATGAAAGATCAAAGCGAAACAAAGAAGAATTACATGTCTATGTGAAAAAATAAAGAATTAGTATCATGTCAAGCTTTACTTCTGTACACTCGTCAAACACAGTTAACTCATTAGTTAGACAGTATAGGAATCGATGCAAAGTTAAAAGATACAATAAAAAAATTGTGAAACCAGTTTCCGGTACGTTTAGTGTTAAAGTTGGAGGAGATTCGGCACGCCACCCAGTATATTCGAGTCGGTCCGCGTGTCTGGGGTCGTTCCGCCGTAGCCGCGGAGTTCCCTTCGCGGTTGCCCGCGACAAACGGCCGCGAGCGAGATTCTTTCGCGAGCGGTATAACAATCCAGCCAGCGAGGTCCTGCCAAGAATCACTTATCGCGTTTAGCGGCTCGTGAATCGAGGGAACTTCCGGCCGTGCCCCGGAAGGAGTCGCGGCTTTGGATTACGCGGCGCGCGGGGACGACGGATTACGCGGCGCGGAGCCGCGGGACAGGGCTGAGAACCGTCGGGAAGGGGTTGCCGCTAATTACCGAAAGCACGACGGTAATCCAGACGGTCTGAAAAGCCGCGTTGTTCGCGTAACGCCGGGAACGAGCTCGCAATATGAAATGTCTGGCATACATTATCGGGGTTAACGACGGCCGGCGCGATTCCCGGACGAGAGCCAGCGGCGATAAGTCCCCGGTGCACGCGTTTTACGGTTATTGATTTATGGACGGGAAGGTTGAGGTCGTCGTAAAGGAGCTATTAATTGAGGATATTGCGGTCCGCGCGGGAATTCCGGCGGTCTTACGCGCGCGCGACGTCGGTGTCGCTTTTTGTTCGCGGATCAGCCTTTACGACGTACGAGTCGTGAAACGACGCCGGTAAACAGCCTGGGCCGAGCCGGGGAAAGCGCGATGAGGAATTATCAGAGCGTAAGGAAGTCCTTAAAAATCTTAGTGCTCCTTTATTATGTAGCGATTAAAACATTCGCATCGAGGAAGGAAGCGGGCTGAGCAGTGGCAGGGTTTGTAGTTACGAGACGAGGCATTGTTTCGTTATTACCGATGTTTTGTAACGGAAAGTATTCGTGGAGGAAAATTTAATATTTCTCTTTTAGTAGCTTCAAACGGTATATAACCCTTAAATCATTTTTACCGACAAACGAAACAACGCTATTTCAGAACGCTATTTTCCTTTCAAGTGGCAGCGGACCTAGCATCGAAATAATCGGATCACCGTTATATTTTAGTACTTCTCGCAGGAAGTCTGTGCTACTCCAGATACCGAAGTAACGTCCCGGTGACACAGTTAAGACGCGTTAAATCACGAGGAAATGTCTTCGAAGGTTTCACGTCCTTCATCATTCCGCCATCTTCGCGAGCTTGATGTCTTCATCTCGCGACGATGTGATCGACCCCCACTCCCCGCGTCGTCCCTTTCCCACCAGTCGTTCCCGTGTGAGCAGCGCGAACCGACGAGGACGTTAACGCCCTTGTAGTCCCTTCCTCAGCGAAGTGATCGTCGTAACTTCCTTTTCAGTGGTGCGTCAGAAGTACGAGGTCGTGGTGAAGGATGTCTTCGTCCTGGCCGGGAACACCGGGGTGATCAGGTGCGATATACCGACGTTCGTTAAGGAGTACGTGGCGGTCACGTCCTGGGTCCGGGACTCGAACTTCAACATCTTCCCCACGCCGAGGGGCGGTAAGTGAAATTGCAATAAGTACGCGCCGGTTCAATAAGAGCGAAACGTCGGACGTGTCGGGCGTTTTAAGGATGACGGTCGATATGTTTTCAAACGGAAATTTACGGGGGAATTCTAGCGGCGCGCGGATGAAATTCCTATCTTCCAGCCCTTCGACGGTCAACACTTGAACAGCGGTTCTTATTGTTATTCGCGGTGAACGGTATTGGTAAATATTGTAAACACGTGGTTGAAAGAATATTGGGAACAAAAGTAAGGTGCAGAGGATACTAGAATACTCGAGGAAATCGGAAATTTGTATAGAAACGTATCATTTTTATGCTTGAACGTAGTTACGGATCGTCAGGTCATTCCTTACGAGTTGAAAAGAAACCAAACGCCAGAATGTCAGTATAAAAGGAATTAGTCGTCTTCGAAGTCCCGAGTATCCTGTCTCCAAGGCTCGCTCAGGATCCACGACAATCGTTGATTGGATCTCGAGCGAAATCAAGACTTCGGTGAAAACTAACAATAAATTGAACGAAACTCGGCGTCTGCCTTCCTCCTCCGTCGATCGGGATTTTCTCGTTAACCGTGTTAACGGCGCTGCAGGTCGCGATTTCAGTCGCAACGAAGCGGCAGTCCGGTAATTCGCGTGACGACAACAGCCGCGACCTAACGAGCGCAAAACGTTCGAACAGCGTTCCGGCCGAACAACGGGACCCCGATGCGTCCCCGTTAGAACGATCAAAAACGTCTCCTGCCGCGTCCGGGGGTGTCACGTCTCGGTGCACGTGATCGCGAGAGGTTTTCGACATTTTCCGCTTCTCCCCCGCTCGCTCCGCTCCCGAGCGTCGGCCAACCCTTTGGTCGAGAGGATCGCAAAAATAGCGCAACGAGGGAAACGCGGAAGCCTGATAAATTGGTGGCACTTTTTTGCCCGTTTTACCATCGTTTGTATACCGAGAACGGT